AGACTCCCTGTTGTCCCCGAAGGCCAGGCTGCACCCCCGGGGCACCCCACTCCTAGGACGCCTCCAATCCCAGACGCCCCCAACCCCCCGATGCCCCTCACCCGGGACACCTCCAGTCTTCCCTGGGTGTCCCCCTCCCTGGGATGCCCCCACCCCCGTGACACCCCCAATTCCAGCCAACCCTATCCCCCAGGGCTCCCTGCCCCAGGATGTCCCCACTCTGGGACACCCCAATTTCAGACACCCCCAGCTCCTGCCCAGATGCCCCAGGGTGTCTCACCAGGTCCTGCAGTCGGCGTGGAGCTCTGCTCCCCCAGGGTAGGAGACCCCCGAGAACTCGCAGGGGCACTTCTCTGGGGGCACGCACTGCCCGTTGGCGTTCTCATACAGCCCCTTGGCGCACACGCAGCCGGGCTCACACTTGGTGGGCACCTGGGAGAGGCGGGTCGGCAGCCCCTGGGAGGGTGGCCTCAGCCCAGGTACCCCCAGGCGCCCACCCGCCGCTCACCTGGGGTCTCATCTGAGCCAAGCCTCCCCTTCCTCAGAGAGCGCGGGTGCCTGCACCACAGCTGATCGCTGTGTCCACCTCATGCCCGAGCGACCCCCCTTTCGGAGCCAGGGACTGAGTCCCGGTCCTGCCGCTGCCAGGGTCAGGGCCCACCCCCAGGCACCAGTGCGGGGACGGAGGGCCAGAGGGCCAAGCTCGCCTGATTCCCTTGAGGGCTTTTTGGAAACCCTCTCCCGGCCGACGGGAGAGCAGGAGGGCGGCGGGCCCTGCTCCCCCACGCCCTTACGCAAGTGACGCCGGTGGCCAGCATCTGGCAGGTGGGGGCGCAGGCCGCGCCGAACTTGTTCTCCGAGGACTGGCTGCAGGACTCGAACGTCTTGGGAGCTGAGCACAAGGCTGCCGGGGGAGGCTCCGGGGTCAGGGTGCAGAGGATGCCTGGGCCCCTCCCGGCGCCACGCCTGCCTCCCTGCCTCTGTACCTACCCAGCAGTGTCTG